AAATGATAGTTGAAGGTCCTTGTGGATGTGGATTCACTTAGCTGATGTTTTTTAAACAGAACAGATTGCACATCTTTAATTCCAATGATAACTGTCAACTGAGTAAATTTAGACTTAATAACAGTTCATTATTGTTTGTAGTCGTGCACAACTTTAAAACAAATGATTAACACTAACAAAGTAGTTTCTGTTTGATAATCTTGTTCTTTAGAACGTCTTAAAAAATCTTAATTGAAATGATATCATTTCAACTGTCACTACAGAAGCCTGTTTTATTATATTCAATATAAATTATAACCAAATCAAGTTCCTTATTATTACAATTTTTGTTTCACATACCACCAGTTTTACTAAATATATATGCTACATATTACTATAAATGTCTGAATTTAAGTGTATATCATTCTCCCCAAAGTTTTAAGTCTAATATATATTTCCATTAATCCAGTCATTTGTGTTGTTCACCTGTTTTACATTTTTAAGACTGAAACTCATCAGGACTCTGGAGTTTGCAGGTTATAAGAAAGCTTTTAAAAGAAACATTATGAGTATAATGTAACTGACATTGATTAGCTTAACTCTATCAGTATTTACACATTTGAAATCATCAATCAGTCATTGGTAGACGACCATTAGAAACCTGGAAGCACTGGACGGCCGTTTCGACCTGATATAGGACTCATCAGCAATGTGCATCCACTACTCCTGCACCTCACAAGATTCGAACCCTGGACCTCCAGTCTTGTGTGCGAACGCCTAACGTCTGTACCAATGGGCCGGCATCCAATGGTATTGATTTCTACCTCCGATTGATCTAGGCTCACAAGTGACTAGCTTTGTGAGGAAATTTTCGGAGTTCTAGTGAGAAGATGTGACCAATGTAGTTCAACCCTGTCGAGTGTAGGCAGTAACTACCAAAGACAAATGGATGCGGTCGCGCAAAATCCCTTGATCAATCAGAGTCCAGTGGTCCGATGGTTAGGAGTTCGCGCACAAGACCGGAGGTCCCGGGTTCGAATCCTGCGAGATGCAGGAGTCGTAGATGCCCACTGCCACTGATGAGTCCCATATCAGGACGAAACGGCCGTCCAGTGCTTCCAGGTATCTAATGGTGGTCTAACAATGATTGATTGATGATTTCGACTGTGTAAAAACACTAATCCGCATGACTCTAATTGAAAATGTGTATCAGTATTGTTAAGGTATTTTTTTTGTTCCGTCTGCATGAGAACTGATTTCTTTTACAAAAATATTTATATATGAATGCACTTGTTATATATATTTATATATTGGATTTACCTGAATGCATTACCCTCTTCTTCATCAAGTACACCATATGATCGTGAAATAATTTTTGTTGTATCAGCTAAAAGTGGTATTTTCATTGGACCTAATCCACCAGCTTTACGATCCATATTTGTCCAAGCTAGATGACAATATTCTGAATCGGTTGAACAAGCAATAACTTGACAATTTCGTTTTTCAAACTCTTCAAAACGTTCACTATAAGCTATAATTTCTGTTGGACAAACAAATGTGCTAAAAAAAAAGCAATGAATTCATACAAAGAATGATTCTTGTAATGGTTGTTTATAAACAATATGTTGTTCTAAGCAGTTTGTTTAAGTTTACTCTATGTTATCTGTGTAATATATGATAATAAGTTAACTTAATACTTTATGAATTATTTCTTCTGAAATTTTATTGTACATGAAAGAATTGCTCCATCGTCCAGAATATACAAGTGTTTATTAACAGTTGTCTATGCAAAATACTTCGGATTCGTTAAGTTAGACACCATCAGCAACAACGTACTGTGGGAGAGAACAAACCAGATTCCTCCAGTGGAGGAGGAAATGAGGAAGAAGAGGTGGAAGTGGATAGGACACACATTACGAAAAGCACCTAACTACATCATAAGACAAGCCCTCATATGGAACCCTCAAGGCAAAAGGAAAAGAGGAAGGCCAAAGAATACATTACGCCGAGAAATAGAGAATGATATGAAAAGAATGAACAAAAATTGGACAGAACTGGAGAGGGCAGCCAAGGACAGAGTTAGTTGGAGAAAACTGGTGGGTGGCATATGCTCCATTGGGGGTTACAGGCGAAAGTAAAGTAAGTAAGTAAGTAAGTAAGTAAGTAAAAGAATTGCTGTTTTCGTACATTAAACGTAGTTCAGTTGTATAATGGATTTTCTAAAAACCTTTTTAGTTGGTTGATCGCTTAAACTTACGTACTTGCTTACTTACGCCTGTTACCCCCAATAGAACATAGGCCACCCACCAGTTTTCTCCAACCAACTCTGTCCTGGGATTCCCTTTCCTATTCTGTCCAATGTTTGTTCATTCCTCTCATGTCTTTCTCTATTTCTCGGCGTAATGTATTCTTTGGCCTTCCTCTTTTCCTTTTGCCTTGAGGGTTCCATGTGAGGGTTTGTCTCGTGACGCAGTTAGGTGCTTTTCGTGGTGTGTGTCCTATCCACTTTCACCGCTTCTTCCTGATTTCCTCCTCCACTCGAATCTGGTTTGTTCTCTCCCACAGTACGTTGTTGCTGATGGTCTCTGGCCAACGATTACGAAGTATTTTGCGAAGACAACTTTTCATTAATACTTGTATCTTCTGGATGATGGCTTTCGTAGTTCTCCAAGTTTTCGCTCCATACAGTATAACTGTCTTGACATTTGTATTGAAAATCCTGATTTCGGTTTTGTTTGAAAGTTGTTTGGAGTTCCAGATATTTTTCAATTGTAGAAATGCATCCCTTGATCACTTAAAGCCTAATAAAATTTCTATCCTATTTTCGAGACCATTCATCTCTCAGAAACAAATTGAATATGACAATAAATCAATGCTAAGTATGTTTGGTTTAGAAATTCGCTGAAACTTTCAATCGCTTTGCTTAGCGCTAAAACCATTTATTCTGATATACAAATCATTTGAAGTATAAGTAGAAATAGGCTAAAATATTCAATAAACCAAACGGTCTACTCAGTTTTATTGATTCCCTTGAAAGGCTATCTCTAGGATAAATAAACTTCGATATCATCAGTATACTAGTTGGTTTGATTATCGATTTTTTTCCCTAAACTTCTCATTTATTATATAGTTCATCATGTAATCTATTGTGGTGCGCGTTACTTATAAGTAGTATATGACTCGAGTGTAAACGTAATGTCTGGCAACAGAAGATGGGGAAGGTCAAGAAAGGAAGTGTGGTAACACAATGTAATTTGTATGCAACGAATGAATAGTGAAATGTCAGACAATGGATGATTGATGATGGATTGAAGATTTGCAAATTAACTGTTTACGATATGGTTTTCCTATTTTACTGAGTAACTCTGTAATTTTCGTTAAATACAATTCGGTTGCCCTCACCTGTGTTCTGCTTCACTACACTATATCATTAGTTGTTATAAATGTCTTAAAAAAGTCATCTTGATTTATTCACTTCTATTTCATATATCTACATGCATAAGTATTATTGTGTATATGAGAAAAAATCAAATAATCGGTTGAGAATACGAATGATTGTTTACTACTGACATGCTTTGGTTCTGAAATTCCAGTACAACAATATTACAATGATGACATTTTTGAAGAGAATGGAATTAACATGAGTATTTTTTCTGTTACAGCACAATATACCAAACTGTTCTTTCATTCTATGTGTTATATAAACACATAGACTGATTATTAATGAGTTATCGGATGACCAGACCAAAAGATGTCACGAATTCATGAAATCATTGACAATAACTTGACTGAGTTATGTTGGTAAGTGTAGACTGCTTACCTGGTTAGGGTCTGCGAGGCGATACGGTTCAAAATCGTTTGCAATAGCTCAGGTGGATCCACTATTTGTATTCTCTGAAATTTCAATCTCCTGAATTGCTCATCATCTCTATCTTTCTCTTTCTAAATTTATCTCACTGAATTATACTTCTTGAATCATGTTTTCGAACCCTAATCTTCTTCATTATTGCTGATACTTCCACTATATGTACCACTATTGATGGATTTGGACTGACAGTTTCGTCTCTGTCCTAATGTGGTATGGCAACGTGAACTTATGTACGTACTTACGTACGAAGTGTTCTACATTGTATCTGACTGAATACATCAAACTAACGATATATTGAAAAAAAAAACATTAAAAAGATATTTACCATAAAATAAATATTACAAAGTTATTTAAGATTAATCCTCAAGAAAAAGTAAAAAAACTGACTAAAAAGTTAAACTTACAAATCTGCAGGATAAAAAAATAATACCACATATTTGCCTAAATAATCTTGTAAATTTATTTGTTTAAATGCACCATTGATTACAGCTTTTCCTTTGAAATTCGGTGCAGGTTTTGTTGGCATAAGCATCTTCTGTGCTCCAAGTTTAATTTGATTTTTTAAATATTTACCATTTTGAACACAGATATTCCATGTTGTGTGTGTGTCAGTTCGATTGGTATGTATGTATGTCGGTATGTGTTGATTTATGCCTTCACTTAATTCAATTGGCTGTAATCAACCAAAAAAATACAAACACAGGAAATAGATGATTACGCTTTATGCCAACTTTGAAATGATGAACAGGTGTTTATCTGTTTTGTTTTGTTTTTCTTTCAAAAAATTAAGTTGACGCCCTTTTCTTTTTGCAATTTTTGTGAGTAGTATTTTGTAGATTGTTCAAATAGATAGGTAGGTATATAGTAGAGATTATTCTCTCTAATTTCTTTTCTCTTTTTCGAACAGTCAATTAAAATACAAAACCACTGAATGTCATTATCATCCGATGTATCTGTTTCCTCCTGATATGAGACTCATCAGCAGTGTGCATCCACAAGTTCGGCTACTCACAGTACTCGAAACCACGACCTTAGGTCTTGCCAGCGAGGGCTTAAACTCTGGATCATTGAGCCAGCATCCAACAGTGTTAATGTCTAACTCCGATTGATCTAGGGATTTAGCGCGACATCACCCATTTGTCTTTGATAGTTACTGCCTACACTCGATAGGGCTGAATTTCACTGGTCACGTCTTCTCACTAGAACTAAGAGAATGTCCTCACGAAGCTAGTCACTAGTGAGCCTAGATCGATCGGAATCAGAGATTAACACCGTTAGATGCCGGCCCAGTGGTTCAGAGTTTAAGCGTTCACGCACAAGACCGGAGGCCTCGGGTTCGAATCGTGCGAGGTGCAGGAGTCGTGGATGCGCACTGCTGATGAGCCCCATGTCAGGACGAAACGGCAGTATTTCAGTGCTTCCAGGTTTCTAATGGTGGTCTAACAATGACTGAGTGATGATTTCAAATGTTTAAAAATCTATTATCTGCACAATTATATAAAATGGATTTTTAAATATAGAAAATTATCTTCGCAATGAATTTCTGCCTTCGAGTATATATATATTTATATATATTCGAGGCAACCCTGGTCATTCACTGCATTTCATAGCATAATTGATAATAGAAAGATGTGACAGTTAAGTACATCATCCCAACACAATTGTTTGCCTATTTTTTGCTTATCATCATGAGTAGAGAGAAGCTTGTAAATATATTCATATTTTGTGTATATTTGATTGATTGTGATGAGTGCCGGTCTAATTTTGTGGAAGTCCAAGTATTTTTCAATCAATTCTGTTACTACAGTTGTAACTGCCTATTCTCATTATGGCAAGGAAGTTAACTTTTTATTCTTTACAATGTATGTTTATCTGTAGACTAGCTTAGGCTCTTTCTATACAATGTGAGTGGAATTTATGGAGATCAGTAAACGCTGTGAATAAATTAATGAGATACTTTTATAGGATCAAAGAAATATCACTGAATCTTATGTAAATAATCTGTCATCGTGAATGTATCTGTACGTTAGAAGAATATTCACCGAACCTTTTTTATAGAGAATTGGGAAGCTTGATGATTGCTAACCCTCTGCAGCAGCTGGACGATTTGGACTTCGCAGATGACCTAGATCTTCAACAACAAATGCAAGAGAAGACGATCAGTGTAGCAGCAGCCTCTGCAGCACCAGGTCTCAACATACATAAAGGAAAAAGCAAAATTTTACGAAGCAACAAAACATGCACCAACCAAATCAATCTTTGGAGGACGTAAACACCTTTACATATCTTGGCAGCATCATCGACAACCAAGGTGGATCCGATGCAGATGTGAGGGCATGGATTGGCAAAGCGAGGGCTGCATTTCTACAGTTGAAAAATATCTGGAACTCCAAACAAATATCCATCAACACCAAAATCAGGATTTTCAATACAAATGTCAAGACAGTTCTACTGTATGGAGCGGAAACTTGGAGAACTACGAAAGCCATCATCCAGAAGATACAAGTATTTATGAACAGTTGTCTTCACGAAATACTTCGGATCCGTTAGTCAGACACTATGAGCAACAACGTACTGTGAGAGAGAACAAACCAGATTCGACTGGAGGAGGAAATGAGGAAGAAGAGGTGGAAGTGGATAGAACACACACTACGAAAAGCACCTAACTGCATCACGAGACAAGCCCTTAAATGGAAGCCTCAAGGCAAAAGGAAAAGAGGAAGGCCAAGGATCACATTACACCGAGAATTAGAGGAAGGTATGAGAGGAATGAACAAACATTGGTCAGAATAGGAAAGGGAATCCCAGGACAGAGTTGGTTGGAGAAAACTGGTGGGCAGCCTATGCTCCACTGAGGGTAACAGGCGTTAGTAAGTAAGTAAGTAGTAATGATGGCTAACGGGGTGACCAATCAAATGGTGGCACGTAACCGGAATGTACATCAGTTTGGTCATGAAATGTATCGATTTTACTTCTTCGATTTGTTCTTAAAAATTAGGATTTCTGGAAAAACTTCATTCTAGATTATTTTGATGAGATAATTTAGTCTGGTTATTAGTCTAAAGTAAACTAGATTGAGGAGGTCATCAAACGGTAAAGTTTCAGTTTGAATAGTTACAACATTTCAGTTAAATTTTAGTAAATTAAGACTATTGAGCTGTAGAATCCAAACTGAGGTTCGGACCTAAGGTAATAACAAGAAGTCTTGATATAGCGTAGAAAGTGTATTCTTCAAACACTCAGCAAGGACAATGATCTCAAGCACACAAATTTCGTTTATTTGTGCATCATAGAAACGTCCTTGGGAGAGCCAGAAAAATAGCAGAATAAAATACACAGCAACCAATCATAACCAAGGATTTTCCTAGTGGGAAATGCGATCTCAAAGTAGGCTGGTCGGCCGATGCTCGGAAACATAAAATCCGAAATCAAGGCATTTATCAAGCGAGTTCTGAGGATCTAACATCCCCAACAGGAATAACTGTCTAGGTGGTTTAGATACGCGCCTTACCCAGTTTAAAACCAAAACAAGTGATTTGGGTAAATGACGGTTCTAATATTCATCATAAATATAAATTTACTTCATCACCTAAACAAATATTACCACTCAGTTATTCCACCAACAATTGTTCAATTAATCAAATCAACAGCAACACATAACTGATATTCTATCCCTCCTGGATAGATCAGATTCATTCGATAGATAATATTTGGTTGTTTTATAACACAGAGTGTTTCCTATTCTGGAAGAGTGCTTCAATTCACAATCAAAATGCACAATTCCAGTCAGTGCAACCAAAAGAGGAACAAATCAATATGGCTGTCGCCATGACTAAGTATCAGCTTAAACAACATAAATGCATTTCAGAAAGAAGCATAGAAATTTAGTGAAGGCACAAAAGAAATAGAAACCATAATTAAAAAATACAAATATTATCATCTCAAAAATGGAATCGAACAGATTAACAAAATGTACAACTGAAGGAATCATTAAGCACAAATTGCAAATATATACATGGAAGGATCTATTACTAGTATTGTGGTGTGAGCTACTTATAAGTAGTATATGACGTGAGCGTCAAAGTAATGTCTGGCAGCCAAAGATGGGGGGAAGATCAAGAAAGGAAGAGTTCGAAAACAATGGAATTTGTATGAAACGCATGAATAGTGAGTGACAATGGATTGATGTTTTGCAACAGGAACAGTCCAGTTCGATAGGATGGACTGATAATTTGCAAATGAATGATTTACGATATGGTTTTCCGATTTTACTGAGTAACTCTGTAATTTTCGTTCAATACAATTCGGTTGCACCACCTGTGTTATCGATCACTACAGTATTACTACATTGTTCATAAATATGTGTTCATTTGTTGTAGAGCAAGTGTTATAATTGTCTTGTCACATGATAATATGAAGAAACCTATCTAATTATATTGTGTAATAAATAATTAGAGAGCTCAAGATTAATAACTGTTTTTCAAAGGAGGATAATATAAATATCAAAACAAATCATCCTCGTCTTTGAAGGATATATCTATATATATATCTGTTACTGGTGTAGATTTGTGTATTATTGTTTATCAAACTATTGAACATTTGTCCTTACTTAGTTTTTACGTGTTTTAGAAGAGGAAACGCCTTAACAATGATAAACTGAAGTTGTGTAATTTTATAAATCCGCATTTATTTTTACTCCTATTTTAATATTTATTTATATTTGAATAACCGGTCATTGAAATGCATGCAATCCAGAGTTTAAAATCAACAAGTTCTGTAGATTATGTTTTTATTTTCAGTGATATACAAATTTATATTGTAAGCCATCATCATAATGATAGGATTCTGTTATAGCGGTTAATTGAATCGTTTTGAATGCTGAAACTACATCGTCACCTACTCATTGAAATTATTTCCGAGCATGGGCTGATCAGTTGACCTTGAGGTCACATTTCCCACCAGGAAAATCCTTGTCTGTGATTGGTCGCTGTGTTATTTTAGTGTGCTATTTTTGTGACTCTCCCAAGGACGTTTCTATGAAGTGTAAATAAACGCAATTTGTGTGCTTGATATGATTGTGCTTAATGGGTGTTTGTAGAATATACTTTCTACGTTATTTCAAGACTTTTTCGTTAGTTCCTTTGGGTCAACGGATCAGACTAGCCTAAGACGAACCCGTAACAGTTTCGAGCATATCAGGTGACGAGCATAACAAATCTAAACTATGATATCAATGTGTGTTTTATTTCAAAAGCTTGCATCAAATTGCTTTACTCTAAATGGTAATTGGATATGAAACAAATGAATGATAGCCAACTTGTGGTAACTGTTACGCATGCACGATAAAACACGTCATTTGATATGCTTGATCTATTACGAGTTTACCTTCGTCAGTAAACGAGAGCGAGGATCCGGCGACACGATATGCTACTCTAATCCGACTGTCCGAAACCACGATTGAATAAGAGAAGAAGGCTTGATATGAAGTAGAACATGTATTCTACAAACACTCAGAAAGCACGAGGTCTGAGTTCAGTAGAGAATCAGGATCCCCGACTACGGATCCGGGTCATAAAACATTGCAGACAATGCGTATTTATACAGTT